AATTGGTCAATATGAAAGTTGGAAAGAAATGATGGAATTTGATTTTGTGTGTTGACTTCATTCAAAAGTTCATTCGAAAGTGTAAGTGAAATAATATTTTTAGGGTCAATAATACGTGCCATCAGAGGAAGATCAGATTTTGATACATAACGAAAATCCACTTCATAACGATTGTAAGCATTAACAATCGAATAGAGCCATTTGCAAACGCAACGAATTGAAAGAGCGATTGTGTCTGCAGGAATTTCATCGAAAATTCGATGAACAAGCTCGATAGGTAATGTTTCAAAATTAGATTGTGTTCTAGTAGACATGAATCGTAATGCGTAGAACATACACGTGTAATGTTTCTTTTTTCCAATTATATGTGACGAGTGTGCATACACATCGAATGCGAATGTCTAACGATGTGTCATATACGACTGTAGAGAATAAAAAAAAACAACAGCAAATGATCACATGTTTATTCATGCAAATTTTGAAAAAGAAATGTAATAATCATTTGCTGGCTCCCATTCCGAATGTTTCGAAATAAACGTATAATAACCTACGTTTGAAAACATGACGAAATTACTGCCAAATGTTTTTCGAGGGCATTACTCAAGCAGACCCTGAAAAGCCAACGATGGGTACGACGAGTGGTCGAAACTTGAAAATACATTTCTTTTTTTCTCGTTCTGTTCAAATTTCGAATCCCTCGGTGGCTATCTAATCTCGAGCCCTCGGAAGGATTTTCTCATCGCACATTTATTTTCGACTACTCGGGCATATTTCGACCACTCAAAAACGATCGAAATATCGACTATTCGAAGAGAGGAGACCTATTGGAAAGATTATTTCGATTATTTGATATGATTCTGATGAGTCAGAGTCCATCGAACTATCGAATGATCGGAAACATTGTCCCATGGTGCATTCATTTTCGACTCCTTGGACATGTTTCGACTACTCGAAGATAGGAAGCTCATAGGAAAGATAGTTTCGATTGTTCGTTTTAACTTTAATTACTGAAAACGTCTCAGAACTTCAGTTTTTGAATGATTTTTTTTTACTCTTATTACATGATCCACTTGGAGAATTTTGGTTTTCTACAGGTACTTTCACGTAGTTTGATCATTTAAACAATATTATTTATCATTTACAACTAGAACAACGATAGAAATATCTTTAAGTTCTGAGAAAAAAATAATCATAATGAATTTACTTTCATAACACTCCTAACCTCCTGAGCTGTTCACTAACTCTGATTTTCAATTTCTCGTTGACAAAGAAAGTTCATGGGATCATTTAAAACCATGGGTTTATTTTTTAGTCCTCGAAGTTACTGAGATGGTTGAATATTATAAACTTAATAGAGATAGGTAAGTCGAGTTGGTCTAATTCTACTCTCAATATATATATTCTTTTTTGTAGCTTTTTTTTTTACATAATCTAATTAATTGTAATGTAATTTAAGCTTTAGCATTCGTAAGTACATGTGTTCGAATCTTCACTTTGGCCAAAATATCCGATAGGTATCGAGTGCTCGAAAAAAAATCAGATGCAGAGAGCGATTTTTTTTGAAATTTTAGAAAAACGTTCGACTGCTTGGAATATCGACCCCTCGCGATCCCTGCAAATCGGGCCCATCAAAACCCATCGAGAAAGGTCCATCGATGGGCATCGAAATGCCATTTTCCGATAGATCGAGAGAACCGTGAGGGGTGAACAATTCTTAATTTCATCAACCTATCGTATGGTTCAGATTGACACCTCGAAATACCCATCCCATGATTGCTTGGGCAAGATAAATAGACTAAATTCAAGTCCCTACCTCTAAAACAAAGTTAATTTTATTCAGCAACAGGAAAATCGCGATAAATACATTGGAAGATCGTCCGAGGTTTGATCTTTCATAAATGATATGAATTTTTATTTCGCAGCTCGTTTCACCTTAGAACTCTAAAAAGAAGCTTCATTGTAGCCTATCACTTCTTTTTGTTTGAAAGAGAATATCAAGATGTAAGGCATAAGAGATTCTCGTTTTTTTTTTGAAGTAAGCTTTGTTATTATATACATATAAGAGTACCATTACAATTAAAGCGTCATTTTTTGAGAATTTTTCAAGACATTGCAGTTTCATCTCTTTTGTTCGCTTAAAAAGTATGAATTTGAAAAAAAATGATCTTGCATCCTAATATATTCTTTCAAACAATAGAAAAAAAAATCCCCTTATCTGAAAAATCAATCAGTTTTCTGGAAATCAAAATTTATTCACTTAAGATCTTTTTTTTTAAATTAAAAAGAGTAATCATCATTAAGATATAGTGGTTTAACTTTTGATGATGAATTCTTGTTCTTGAATGAGAATTTTTTTCTACTGAAATTCAGTTAAATTTGTTTCATTTATATGAATGATTCTAGAATGCCAATCGAAATTTTCCCGACTTCTTACAAGAAACTTTAATCATGCGACTCGAATAAATTTGTGCACTTACTATATGCAATCCTTATGTAGTTAGCGATCGTTATATTGCTAATCGAATTTGTTATATTTTCCCATGTGTCGAACAATTGTATGTATCCGTCAAACAAGCAGATGTTATGCTTGTGTCGATCAATGGGTTCAAATACTTATCAAATGCTTCATTCATTTTCAAATCAATATCCGCTTTTGACAAACAAAGTTTATGGCAATAGGTGGCAACAATCGTTAACGGAGTTTATCGTTTCCAAGGTTCATGTCTTTAGATGTGGATCGAAAATCGGATGGATATTTCTCATCGAGAAATTATTCCACGTATCAATTGGACGCAGCGATTAGACAATAATTGGTATTATGTTGATTTCATGTTGAGTCAAGAGTTACTGCTTTCAAAATTCATTACTATTATGTTGATTGCTCATCTACACAATATTGGTACTCACATGTAGATTTATATGATGTCCGGCATCGCATTACATTCATATGTTTGTTCAGCTATATTTGGTTCTGCTTCTTTTCTATACCTTAGCCCAATCGCTTCAATATTCTCCAAACATCTTGATCGATCGTTCCTATATATATTTGGTTACTTCTTTGTTTTAATATCTATCATCATTGGATATATCTTTTTGGACAATTGGAAATCAATGATTGCAGATAAGGTAAGTCTATTTTTATGAAGAATTGGAGATTTTCTTAATATTCAATGTAAAATATGTGACTTGTCGAATGATAACTCAAACTATTCGGTATAGTCTGTCAAGAAATAATAAGAGTGTTGTAAGTGTATTATTCTCAATAATATAACTGGATATCCAAGTGGTTACCTGAATGCTGTTGGTGGATATATCATTAGCTCGGTAGTATATGGCAATAAAAATATTATCTTTCACTGGACTATCGGTTTTATTATATTGTGCTTCGTTTGTTAGTTTAGTTTTATGATAAAAATGTTGTTTTTCTTTGACTCATTTGTTCAATAATTTACTGTTGTTTGTTACCATTGTCTTTAGAAATGTTGCAATAAAAGAATTGAACAAGACCTGTATCACCTCACGATGCTTTAGATTTAAACCTTTTTTGCTTTAACAATAGAAGAGTACACCCACACTATCAAGAGAATAGTTTTTGCTGATTTCCAAAAACTTGAAAGGTCTTTTGCAACAGCTGGTCACTGGAAGAACCGAATTGATATAAAACTTCGACTGATAAAGCGAACTAGGTCAACAATTCTTGAACAATGATAGCTATGGGTTGACGACTATTGTTTTTTGTTGCAAAACTTATGAGAGAATTAAGCACAAGCATTATTGTAATATAAACACTACAGAAAAGACAAGAATAAGAAAAAGTGAGGACAGCTGAACTTAGATTTCTAATGAATAAACTGATTAAACAGGGTTTTTCGATAAAAAAGCTGAGGATGAACTCCTATTTCTTTTGGCTTTATACAAATTTTAAATTAGCAAAATTAGTGTAATCACAAATTTGAGGAAATTTAAAATTACAGAAAATATTAACAAAATAATTTTTTGTAATTATTATGATAGATTTCGTCTTCTATATGCAGAAAGCATTTCTTTTAACAACAAAGCTCGGCCAACAAGCTTAAATTATTAGAAAATAAAGTGAATCAAGATGCAAAAACGTTTGAAACGAAACATTTCTGAATAAGATGTTTGAATATCAATCTGGAGAGAGACAAGAAATAAACCTACATCGATACACAACTTGATGATTCTTTGGTTATTGTTGTGTTTGTTGTTCCAGGTTGAGACTCCTCAGATATTAGAGCTTCATTTACATTGTTAAATTCTGCACGAATATTAGTGTCGTCATTTATTGAATAAAAACTAAAATACAAATTTATTTTATAAATATTATGTCAAGTACATATGACACAAAGATAAGAAATGAAAGGAAAAACAAACGACTTATTGATCTTAATTTTGATCCAAATATAAAAAACATTAATAAAAAGCTAAATTAATAAAATAGATGCTAACAATAATCAGTCCATTGTTCACCAATATTGTTCTCTATAAATGTCTCTGCAATGACGCCACAATATCTATCGAAAAATACTATTTATTTCAGTTAAAGATCAGTAATTCAGAATGGGGTACAGTAAGTGTAAATATATGGATACAGTTTCTTTTTGATGGTACAAAAACACAAAATTGGATACAATATCCTAAGATAGGTTAAATTTGACAATTATGTTTTAACTCCAGTTGTTAAGATGTGTGCTAGGGATAAAGGCGAGAGTAGTCGTACTAATTCAACGTAAAACTTTCAGTCATTGTTTTCTATAAACATATATGTGAGTTTTACAAAAGTGAAGTAGTTCAATAAGTGCTGCTGCACTGAATTCTCTCCTAATATGAGAATAAAATGTATAACACATGCTTTCTTGCATTTTTTATTGAACAGAAAACAAAAACAAAGTCTATGACATGTACATTTACAAAAATGACTGACTGAATCGTTACGTATAATGCGTATAATATAAAATATCTAATTATCAAATGAGTTTTTATTTTGGTTTCAATGTTTGACCTGTTTGTATTTTTCGTACATGAGGTTCATTCATCTTTGGTGAGCTGAGTAAAAAATCGACCGTAGCAGCAGTCGTAGCACAAACAATACCATAGACTTGAGCTAAACGAAGAAGTGCTTGCACATCGGCAGTATGAGGATGAGAATCCAATGGATCAATAAAAAAAATGAGAATATCAAGTTCTCGTGAAGTAATTTTTGCACCTAATTGCTGATCACCACCTAACGGACCACTTTCAAATTTAGTGACAGGTATTTGAAGCTCTTTTTCGACTAATGATCCAGTCGTACCCGTACCATACAATTTATGTTTAGCAAGTATGTCACGATGTTGTCGAAGACATTCAATCAATTCAGTCTTCTTATTATTGTGAGCAACTAGAGCAATTCGTTTTATTTCACCCATTACAACAAGATTGGATATGTCCTAACAAAGGTCAAAACAGAAATGATTTATTCTTTCTAATTTTCTTTTCCTTATCAAAGATTCAAGAAGTATTCACCGTTTGAGTTTTGGAATCATTTTCATGCTTATAAATCATTTCAGCAAGATATTGATCGTTTTTTTCCCTTATAATCATACTAGTTAAGAAACGATTGCCTCCATTGGTAAGACCTACTTCAGGAGCTACACAACAAAAAAGATGTGCCAATGTAAAAAAAAGAAAATAAATAAAACTTTACTGTTTTCAGCATAAAATTCTTGCAGTGCGCTCTGAAAAAAAAATATTCAGAATGAATTGATTCGAAGATCAAAGTGAGTTGTTTTTCTTTTATATAAAAATGATGGCGTAACTTACATTTAAGTTCCATTGGTGTTGATTAAGATAGCGAATTGAATCTTCGAAATTGAAACAAGTTACAGCCTAAAATTAACAATAGTGAGATAACTAACGACAATAGTAACAGATTTACTTGAAAATAATCGAGAATTTGTCCTCGTGATTGAAATTGTGTTTCGTTGCGTTTCATTTTATCAATGAAATTATTAATCTATAATTAGAAACGGTCGACTAATAATGATATTATTTGTCACATTAATCATGGGACGAGTATGCAAAACAAAAAAGTAATTTTTATGATCGACTTGACGGTTTTGAATTGAATGATCTGATTTTAATAGTTATCCGAGATCTTAATCATCATACATGTACTAATAAATTCGAAACAAAGCGACAATTATTTGATCTCTGAAGCATCAGTTTTGACGTAATGGTTAAGGTAGAAATCTTAGAAACTAAGTACTTGGCATTTATAGGATTTTTGTATTTACGATATGAATCCGTGATTGCAATTATTTCAAGTCGATTTTTACATCATATTTACATACCTTTAAGTAATGTCGAATGATATTGGTATCAAATCTGTGATTTCAAATAATAATATTATATTCTTTCCGTGACATTCGTTTTTATAGCATCAAAAACGGAAGAAACAGCTGCTTGGAATTTTCTCAATTGATACCTTCATTAATGGATATATCAATGCATGACATTTGAAACACCCACTGAGTGTATGGCAAAAGATGACGTTGCGACATGACTCTCATTTTTATATCATTATTGCACAAGAGAAAGTTGTAGTGTTCCGTTGACAACATTACATTTGATGACTAATAATAACCTGAAAGGTAAACGAAATACATCACACGTCTTTCTACATCATTTCTATTCTTTCGTTCTGTACAGGTGTTTTTCTTTTCGTTTAATATGGCAGAGAAAAACTTCGTTAAAATATGAGTCATTGATAGTAGACTGTATCAGACTCCGACGGTACCGGAGTCAGGTTTCGGAATCAAAAATCACTCACAACACACTGTCAATTTTTTTTATTGACATATGTTGAGAAAACGGCCAAATTGTTATTTGAAAAAGTATTAGAAGCCATCCATTTATTTCTCATATTAAATATTTTCTATTTATCATACAAAGGAAGCTAAAATCATCCATCTTTTTTTATTTGAAATAACGCATTATTGTTTATATCATTTACGCATGCGAAAAGAAAAACAAAATCATATTATTAGATCGCTTTTTTCGATCTTTTGAATATCTCAAATGAAGAATTCACAATCTAATTCATTTGACAGATGTTGATTTTCTTTGGCTTGTATCTTATTGTTCAGTATTTTGTGCTTAGTAAAAAATTAGTTTTTAGTATAGTGAATAATTTGAAAAGTTCAGTATTTATTTTTGTTAAAGTTTTTTATTTACTTATATCAGTAAAAATACTATAGTTACTATTAACAGACGCTTATTGCATTAGGAATGCTGCTGTAGATTTTTGTGATCTCCTGAGACGTCTTTTTTTACCAATTTTAACATATTTAGCAGCATGTGACGGTTTACATCAATTTAACCTAGTTGCATTTCATTCGTATTGATCTCATCGTCAGAAACAAAAACTGGAACTTTAACAATTTTCATCGCCGTTACCATTTCCAAACCAAATTAGATATGATATTGTTAAGTATTTTCCGAACGACAACTATATAGTATATTCCGAACGAACTACAAAAAGTCCTATAACACTTGGAGGAAAAACATGATGAGAAAGGAAACTATCAATATCAAAAGTATATCAATAGAAGAGTACGTTTGAATAATAACTTCGAAAGACGCATGAAAAAAAAGAAAATATATGAATATTTTATTTTACATTATTCGTTTGACTGATATGTCCTCATGAATTAATGTGAAGAACCAATGTTCTGTTTATACTAAGATGTTTTCATAAAAATCAAATGACTACTGACACAAATATTATTCATTTAATGAATAAATTAATTTTTAAATGAGTAAACTAAGTTAGTTACTAATACTTAGATTTTAACATTAAACACATTATTAATTTACCGAGAAAACATAATAGTTACCAAAACACTAAATTGTATACTGATAATTTGTATGTAATACTGAGTAAAGTATACTGAACATTTAGTTTGTTCCCTTTTTCTTTGAATTCTGTAACGAATGATTTGATATTCTATTGAAGGCTTTTACTTCGATAAAAAGAAGCCTCGATATCATCGATGAAATAGCCTTCTTCACTTTCAAACTTGTTCAAATTCGAATCGATTTCAATTCATCGAACAATTTTATTTCAATAATACAGAATAAAATTGTGTATTGTTATTTCGAGACCTAATTTTGATACAATTCTTAACTATATAGTTGATCGACATAGAAAATTCTCTCTATACTTTTCACTTCAGTTAAAAAAAATAAGGATGACGAGTGTCGTTGTGATCGCTAACCATGATCCCAAAGGACCAAATGTGATGCTTCAATCTCATAACATTGAATTGTGTTTGGCCACCGATCGCGACTCGTCGTTCTTCTTCGTTGATTCCCTTCTATTAAAGTTGCAACAAGTTATAGATTTTGCAATCATCTTCTTTCCTTACCTTATGTAGCACTTAGTACGAGTATTGCGAAGGTATGAAGAGACGAAGAAAAAAACTTATTTCATCAAGACTCTTCACTTTTGTCTTTTACAAGCGTTCTATTGATATTTTATTTTCGAATTTTTCATTCTAATTGAACGAGTTAATACTGTTTGCATTTACAAGTAATTAATATTGAAGAAGATGATGCATGTCTTCATTTCATCTTTTAAGTTGTGACCAAGGTTTTTAGTTTTACTTAGATGGGCTAGAAAATTGGAAAATGTTATGGTATGGTCGTATGACAAGTGCACTTTCAATATTTTTACACCATCCGAAAAAGATGTTTGGAAATCTTCAAAGGAATAGAAAATGTGTTGTCGACACTTTATTTTCAATAAAAAGTTGTTTCAAGTGCCAATTCATCAATAAAAGAGTGGAGTTCACTTTTATCTATAACAGAAAATAAGAATCGTTGTTTGAAGAACAACTGGTTTCCTTCAGTCTAGGTAGACCAAATGTATTTTATTCTCGCTCGAATCAATGTTGGGCAAATGATTTGTTTCTCTTGATTGATCAGATCGATCACAAAAAACAACAGATTTCGTCCAGTATGATCTCTAAAATTCTTGTCAATCGAATCTCTTTGGTTATGATAGAATATATATTTGCTTGCAGAGTATGGATGTGAGTGGGGATATGGATGTTCTCTTAATCAACAACCATCCCAAAACCATCTCTCTCAAGAAAGAAACATTCGTTTATTATGGAAACTTCAAGAAGCCCTAATCATAATTAGATTTATTGGTAGACAATGTGATAAAATGAAATTTATTCGATTCGAGTTTCTCGACAATAATCTACTATAGAGTCAAAATTTAGTAAAGCGTTTCTAACTTTTGAAGAATAGAAAATAATCATGAATTGGTTTGATCATTTCTTAGTCCCATCAAATCCTACTTAAGGACAATATATGATGTCGAAAGTAAGGAACTCTACTAGGAGTATTGTTTTCATCAGTGACTAGTATAAATCATTTACGAGATGAAGTGTGAAAACTGTAAAAAAAAAAGTCAATTATTACGATAGTTATAGGTTGGTATCAAAGAAATTGTTTATCATTCAATAAATACACTGATTTATTCGCATCACATCACATCTTGCTTGTTCTTACACCTAGTCAAATAGAAAAAAACATAAAAACATATGTAGCAGTATGTAAAGTCCTATGTACATTATATATTCATGATTTTCTTTGCAATCTTTTGCATATGAGTGAATTGCAACTTTTTGGTACGATTGAAATTTTAGCTGTATTTCGCAAATAACTTTTGTTATGCTGAACCGATTTAGACCAATTTTTTATATGTTATTGATCTTTGAGTGTCCCACTGCCATAGAAAATTTCAACTTTCTAGCTCGTCCAGCTGCTGAGTTATCAGTCCTTTACTATCAAAAAATCCTATTTTATAGGAATATGTATTAAGAAAAAGATACTTTCTATGTACAAAAGAAAAGAGAAAAAATATAGTGAATAGTCAGTTTTGTACAGCTTGAAATGTTCTATCAAATGGTATATTTTTTATATGTTTTTTCCATTTCTTTTCACACTCATTCACTCCGAATACTTAATTACACACACTTTGTTATTTTTGTGTCGAGCGACCTTATCGTTCAATTTACTTTGTCTGTATGAAAGCGGAAGAGAAGCGAAGATAGGCAAAAGAAAGACAACTGAAATAGTAACAAAATGATATAAAAAGATTCTTCTAAATGAGTTTTTTTTTTGATGAAAATAATCGATTATTTTCTAAAAATTCAAGTTTCACTCACTTTGTAGAACGAC